TCTTAGATATGAATTTTTCCCTTAGTTGATTGTGATTGGGCCTTCTCTTAAAAAAAATTGGGCCTCTTGTTTTTAACATAGGCCCAAATGGGCCGAATCCAATCAATCTGCTACACTGTTTGTTCAAATGAAAATCATATAACCCATCCATTATATTCCTAATCCAAGTTATCCAACTATTATCAATTCCAATTTCCTAAACCGACATCAAACCATACAAGCTCCTAAGCTTCCTCTTCGTTGCCTACCTGTGCTCTCACCATTGCCATGTGACCTACTGTCAGTCGTTGTAGAGTTGTCATCGATACCGACGCTGAGCTTCTCCGCCTCTTCGATCATGGATTCTCAATCGTTAATTATGGGGGGTATAGACTCTTTTCGCCGCTGTATTGACAATAGGTGTGTGCAGTGCAACAATATTGTGGCTAGAGCTTGCTGCTCGTTATTGTCTAAGGCGCAAAGCATAAAAATGATTTTTTTGCCAATTAAATGTACATCATATGATTATCTTCTTTTCTAAGGTCTAATGCATTCAATTGTTTCGTATTCTCTTTGACTCTTTGCTATTATTTTGTTTTAATAAAATAATTTGATTTTAAGATACATAGGCAATACGAGTGTATAAAACTTTAATAGGTATTGATTTTCACCATTTTTTTGTTATTGACATTTTGTTGGATCAGTAAATAATCCAATCCCGAGACACCTAGATAGGACCCATTTATAAAATTTTTGTCATTATTTGTTTTTCATCATTTTATCGTTAACTTTAGATTGGATTATTGACATTTGGTTAGACGTCCTTTGATCAAACTTTACATATAGATTGAAAATTTTAAAATATTATTTAATTAAATATTAATAAATGATCTCGTCATTACGATAATTGACTGTCGACCGTCAATGGTCAATGACCGCCTTAGCCGACTTTCAATCTTGAATTCGCCACTTGTGCTAATAATCCTAACTCAATTTGACAAGGACTATATTTTGTAACTTTATACTTTTTAGCTAAACTTTTAATTAAAATAATTAATTAAGATGGTTTGTGAAAGTTGCAGGAAACTCCCACGAGTAATCCTTCTCGTTAAGTAAAAGATTAGGATGACTTAACTACTACGGAAATAAAATGTTAAAGATAAGAGCACTCAGATTATTTCTCTTCTACTAGTCTTTTTTTAATTTCCCACTCACGACTTTTACGAAATTAGCAAAAGTTGAAAAAGTAGCACTGCAAAAGGTAGATCGAGCCAACTTGCATGCATTGTGGAACATCATGTCAATTCAGTCAGCATGCTTTTAATCGATTGGATGGCTCTGCTAAGAGATGTTATGTCGACTAGAGTTACGTCTTTACTCCATTATGGTACACAAACAAACAGACTTAAACATATGTTCAAAAATAAAAGACACACGTCAACACATGATTTAATGATTTGAAAAAAATAAAAACAAAACAGTAAACACCCATTACTATCTGTCACGAAAAATTTCTTGAGTACATGCATTTTTGATAGATTTTTGCCAAAAATTTGAAATCCTTCAATCTTATCCGTGTGTGTATTTTCCCTCTTTTAATCTTTCAATCATTTCCTTTTATTTCAAATTTTTGTATGTTTTCTGTAAAAAAATCTTGTACTCGTAGCAAGGTTCATATGTTACATCACTCAAATATTATTCCTTTGCAGTTTGTTCAACCCTAGTTTTATTTTTCTTTTCTTACTTTTTAATGGATTAATTATTTATGAACTCAAATTTAACACTATGTTTGATACTCATTCTTCTAAAATATATTTTTCTTTCTCTTATTTTCAATCACATATTTTTCAATAAAATAATATTACACGGAAATTTAAAAATTTTCTTTATTTTTTAACCACATATTTTCCATCGAAACACTATTTAAAATGCATTATTTGGAGAATAATGTGGCTCAAACAGGGTGTAAATAATATAGTTGTCATTGTATAATTAAGGATAAAATCCCATAATTGCAATGTATTCTTTATTTTTCTTTTCTTTTGTATTTGTTTTATTTTAATAGAAGAGTAAAATGGTCAAAAAGAGACGAAAATGACGTTTTACGCAAGAAAAAGTAAAAGTATGGACGTTCTGAACAAAAAAAGAAAGGTATGGACGTTTTGCACAAAAACGTGCAAAAGTAAGGACGTTTTGCACCGATTACCCAAAAATAATTTTAGAAATTTTTAGAAGAGATTTGCTACACGTACATCAGACAGTCCAGTGTACACGCCCCCCTCACAAGAGGTGGGCCCCACGATTATTTTATTGGTCGTGGACCCCCTCTTGTGAGGGGAGTCTGTAAGCATTTCTCTTTTTAGATATCTCTTCCAAAGAGGCTTTTATTTCTGTAATATACAATGCAGCTACTGCTAAATCCTTCTAGTGCTTGGAATGCTTGTTAATTGGGACTCGAGCCTCCTCTGTTTGCCGTACTTTCCCTTTCCCTCTGAATTTTCTTGATGTTCTATCTTTCTATTGTATGAACAAAGGAACCCAGCTTGAGTAAAGTAGCTATTTCTTCATTCCAGATTATTTTTTCTGTGCATTTTTAAATATGGTGCCATTTTCTTTTAAAATATTTGGGATTTTATTTTAGCCCCGGTTTTGATTTGTCTGACGGCTTCGGTGTCAGTACATTCTTTCTGGTGAACTCTGGTTCTTTTTCAGAAAAAAAATAAAAAATCATTGGGGTTTTTGAAAATTCTGCCAACAAAAGGGGAAAAAAAGAAGGAACCTTGTGGATCATACATTCGTTTATGTTGGGCTAGAAGTGTACTTTGTGTATTAAGATGAAGAATGATTTGTAGTTAGTTTCTTTGAAATATGTTTTACCATGAATGTTAAAGACTTGGAGCTGTAGTATTATACCAAATTGGGTTGCTTTTGTTTCTTCATTTACCATCTTCGGGAGGGATGGGTTGTGCTGCATCAAGAATTGACGAAGAAGAGAGGGTGATAATTTGCAAGCAGAGGAAGATGCTGATGAAAATTTTGTTACGATATCGTGAAGAATTTGCTAATGCTCAGTTGGCATACTTGAGATCATTGAAAAATACTGGAGTTACCCTCAGGCAGTTTACTGAATCTGATTCATTGGAACTTGAGGATTCCACTTCTGTCCCGACATTGCCTCCTTCCCCTCCTTCCCCTTTGCTGTCACCTCCACCTCCACCTCCACCTCCTTCTTCGCCTCCGCCTGCTTGCATGAGAAAGCTTGAGGATAAACAGCCGAAGGCTGAAGTTGCACAAGGAGAAATAATAGAAGTCGATGAGGAGAGCAGTCACAACGAACCTCCACTTGGGTTCGCTGGGGAATATTGGGATTCATTTGCTTCTTCATCGCTTGAATGTGATAAAAAGTGTGACACTGTCGAGGAGGAAAATTGGGAAGAGGCAAATAGTGAATTTCTTGAAGGATATGTCGAGGAGACTGTTGTTGCCACCGACGACGATATTATACCCGGGAAGGAGCAGATTTTTGAACTGGTTGATGATGATTCGTTAGTGATGAGCTGTCACTCAATGGATGCTTCAGACAAGGCTATGGTAGTTTGGCGAAGTAAGAAGACCTTGACTGGTATTGTTAAGGACTTGGATGACTACTTCGTGAAAGCAGCAGGTGGAGTGAAGGATATAGCTGTTTTTGTAGATATCAGTATGGGCGACACATTCCTTTTCCGTGGTATCAAAGAAAACAAGAGTAATTCTTCTTCCCTGTTATTTTAATAAAACTCATATTTATGTTACTCTATTCGATGCTATTATAGTATGTAAGAAGAAAAATATGCTGCAATCTTTACTACCATGTAAGAACACGCACTTAATGTTATATAGTATGTAGAACATGCACTTAATGTATAACTATGTATTGTACATTGTAGACACGCAAGGGTTCACTTAACTTGGATAGAGCATATATTATCTCGTTCTATTTCTTTGAGTGGTCTCATCAGAGACTTTGTTGTGGCATTTCCTCTATCATTCTTTTTTTGGTGCTCGTGTCTTTTATCCTCACCTACCATCTTCAACCTTCCAGTTTAGCACATATTTTCCTCTTCAAATTTCAAAGGACCCTTGTGTAGTTGAATTAGTAATTTACCATCCTTGCATATCAATTCTTCCAGAAAGAAAAGCAGTCATTTCTTCTATTTGACGAAACTGTCATATGCGACAAAATACAGTATTACTTGGCCTATGGATGAAGGGCCAATCAAGATGGGATATAGCTAATTCCTGTGAAATCTATTTCAGTATGCCGATGGTCCATTATCATTATGGCCCACTTGTAGTTTCCCATTTATGTGCTGTGTGTGCAAGTTGGCTGGCATTTGGAAAGTTGTCTTTCCTTCCCTTTGAATACATTTGTTGGTGTTATTCTTCTTTCGGTTGGGTAGATGAAAGATTACGAGCTCCCATGGTTGTGTGCGTCACAGAGACATTTTCATCGAATCCACTTAATTAGCATTTCCTGGAATTTCAGTAGCATTTTCCAACTAAAATTTTGGCCTAAATATCAGTAGCTGTTGATTATTGAAGTGAAGCCCAACACAATTAGAATTTTTATCAGTTCATCCATCCTTTTTTTTAAACATTTGTTTATGTCTTGTACTTGCTCATTTTGCCACTATTTGTTTACACCTCCATTCTTAAAAATTATTCCTTATGTTATGTTGGGGTTGAGTGAATTAATTTAGTTGAAGGTTGCAACAAGAGGAGATGAGAAAAGAGGTCATTTACAAATGGTTAGTATCTTTATACAAGGTTGCTCATAACATGCTCTTAAACACATTTTGCTGTGTGGAGGATCGATTTTCTGTCTATATGGCCAACATCCATCAAATGCCCCTAAAGACCTAGCTGTATTGTATTGCCTTCCTAAATATCTCAAACTGAAGAATGCTGACTTAGTCTTATCTTGCGTGCTGGGGGAGGAGGGTAATTTTGGTGGTTTAGTGCAATTTAAGCTCAATAATCAATTAAAGCCAGTCAAATTCTGCTGACTCCATTTTATCTGGATGGTAATATGATTTCAGTTCCACTTCTAATTTTTGTTGTGCAACCTGTTTTATTACATATAACACATGTATGTCACCCATAAACGAATATGTTCTCAATGCACCAAAAATTACAGCTGTAACTGTAGCTCACACTAAGTGCAACGTGTTTAGGTAACAGAAGCAGTTCAGCAAAAGTCTTTAGCTCGCTGACATGGAGTTGGTATTCCAAATCATTTCGCTCCACAAGAGACACTGGAGAGGTCTATGTCTCCGGTGAGCCGTGTAAGCCTGGAGCTCATTGTATCACCCTCCAAAAACTTTATTTGGAGGAGCAAAAGCTCTACAAGGCAGTCAAGGTGATTATGTTTTCTAAATTATGTAAATATAAAATACCCGCACAGCCAAGAACTTTTTGCATCAATATGTTCATTTCATGTTGACTCCATCTTATATTGGCTTTTATATTAATCTACAAATTAGAAAGAAATATAATTGTTGAGTGAAGATAATTAGAGTAGGTTCACCCCACATACAGATAGGCTAGAGTTTGACAAAGTTAGAAGTCATATCACATTTCTTTTTGGTATTCTTTTGATGGTCAAATTGTTGTTCTTTAGAAATTTTACCGTTCTTTCTTTGACCAAAATTATGATATCTTGTAGGAGGAAGAGAATGCCAAGGTGGGGCACCAGAGAAAATCTTCATTGCTAGGTAAACTAGAGGAAGAGCACGATTTGGCTAAATCTGAAAAAACTCGTTCAGCCGTTGAAAGTTTGCAGTCTTACATCTTATCTTTGCAACAATCAATCAATCAGTCTTACTCAACCATATTAAAGCTCATAAGTGAGGAGCTCCACCCTCAGCTGATTGCACTATCTTCTGGGTAAAGTTATAAAATCCTACTTTCATTCAAGTCATATATTATTTATATTGATAATTGAGTGAATTGCTGAAATAACAACCCTTGATAATGGAAAAATCTTACTAATCTCTGAATTAAATTTTAAGAACTAAGTTCTTCTTTGTTATCCCATTTATAGTGAGGAAGAGGAATTTAGGGAAGGCTAGGTTGGGCATTTGATTTCCACGTTACGTGAAATTGTTAAACTTTAGTTCTATAAACAATAACAACATAGTAAGCCTTATTCCCAGTATATCTGGGGTCAGTTTCGTGAATCATTTTTTGCCATTCAGTTTAGTTTCATTGCTAGATATATTCAAAGTTGTATAGATTCTTAGCAACTACATCTTGTCATATTAGTTTTAGTCTAACCCCCCCCCTCGTCTAACTTGCTCTACCGAAATTGTGTCACTCTTATTAACACGAGCCTCTTTAGGGTTCAATAAACATAGGAGAAATTAATATAGCAATGAATCAATTTGAAAGGCTGTAATATATGAAACTGAACCCTGTTGGGATAGGTTTTATGGAGAACACCTCGAATATCTCAACTAGTATTGTCTAGATCTACATATGATTCCAAGATGAGTGGTTTCAAATTGTGCTTTCTCTGTTATTTTTTTTTCTCAGATTGATGCATTTGTGGCAAACTATGTACAATTGCCATAAATTCCAGAATTATATATCTCAACAGCTGAATCATATAGCAAATCAGCAAAACACAGAATTTAGTAGTGAATACCATCGGCAGGCTGCAGCTCAGCTAAAAACAGAAGTCACTTCTTGGTACAACAACTTCTGCAAACTCGTAAAATATCAGAAAGAATATGTTAGAGCTCTCTGCAAATGGACTGAACAGACCGACTGCCTTAGAGATGTTGATGGATGTGGTAACTCATCAATGGTGCATGCTCATGCCCTTGCTGA